TTTCTAGCTATGTCAAACTTAATTGAACTGATTCAAGTAAAGCAGTAAGTACCCTTTTGAACTCACGCGTAAGCCATTGCGGTAGCTTCGTATTCATGGTGCTTCCAAAGAACATTTTGGGGTTGAACCATCACAGAGGGAAATGAAATAATTATCCGGTTAACTCTGGGGAAACCGGTGTTTTAGGAGGAATGTGGGAATGAACTGATATCCTGGCATGGCTGCTGGAGGTTCCAGGAGTGATCAGTGTAACTCTGGTTTAAGAGCAACCCCAGTGTGGAAATGCTGTCTTTGAAGGCAGAGCTTGAGACGTGGCGAGGCCTGTGGGATGCTCGCCAAGTCTGCCACATTAACAGAATCACAGATGTCACAGCCAGATTGCCATTGGCTTCCTTGACATCCTGAAAACTCTACACAGTGGTCTGAAATCACTTAAATTTAAATACTTACTATGGTAAAGGCATCCAGTTCTGTATAATATCATTCACTACAAGCCAGCATCTAAAATGTTATTGATATTTTACATTTCAACGATGTCACATCTGACAGTAATTTACTTGGATCTGGAGAAATGTGATGTGGCTATCATGGCTCTTTAATGATTTAGGTATTAGAACTGGTTCTAGAAAATTCTTGGTTGCCAGCCCTTAGGTTTAATCTTCAGAAACCACCAAGGCTACTAAATATTTTTAACTTTTTAATGCAACAAATGAGATTTTCATTCATTAGAACTTAATATATTCACATGGATAATTTAAACAATGACTTTGAATACATGCAAACTGAGCAGGAACTCAGGCTAAATTTTCTGGAGATGATTTTCACTGGCCAAGTTTTCCAACAAATTCATTAGCTACAGTTTGACACATTCAAATAAAGAACAAGATTTAATTTTAATGCATTCATGTTGTTCACCATTTAAGACAGTTTAGGAAAAAACGGTTATTCAGTACCATCCACAGATCTGTGTTGAAAGCAGCTAAAATTTAGCTCAATTTTGATTATCTCTTGGGATCTTAAATTTCCGTTTTAAAGAGATTTTAAAAAACATGGTATTTGCATTTTACAGAGATGTACTTCAATAGCAAGGGTGGAGTAAGAATCCAAATCTCTGAGATAAAAAACCTGTTAAGATAATGGTTATTAAACCTATATCGAAATGTACTTACCAGGCTTTGGCATGACTGGAAGGTTTTCCATGATAGATTTGAGTTTCATTGAAGAATAAACTGTTGTGAAAATATGCACAAGTAAATTACTGCTAAACATTTGCAAGCGTGGGCAAAAACTGAATGAAATTTGGTTAGTTGTTTGTACTACCTGGAAACTTTGCTTTTATAAATTATAGGTGAGAGTATATTATTATAGCTGTCTTTGAGAACACCTTGAACCAGGTGCTTTAAGTTGGGTAGGTTTTAGAAGATATGTTAATCTTGGTTTAACCAAGGCCTCATTCAGTGACCACTTCAGTAGCCATCTTTTTAAGTAGCTCTGCCTCTAAGAGAGAACAAATTTATTACTTGATGGACTAGCTTACAGTGTAGGAATCAATTAGCAGTGATATTTGATTACTCCAAATGGCAGATCCAAAGCACTATATTCCATACCCTCTAACATTCTTTACTTAAATATTTTTAAATTAATTTCTTAATTTTAGGGTGATGACACTATATTTAAGAAATTGCCCATTAAAAAAAATGTTGT